CTACAGACAGTCGACACGTGGCAGCAGGACAGGCTGTCTCTTATACACATCTAGATGTGTATAAGAGACAGGTGTGTGTGTGTCTGACCATGGTGGCCGAATTGACCGAAGAAGAAGAAGAAGAAGAAGAGAAGAAGGAGAAGAAAAGGAAAAAGAACAAAAAGAAGAACAAGAAGAACAAAAAACAAAAAGAAACAGCAAATAACAAAAAGAAGAAGAAGATGAAGTAGACGAAGCAGAAGATGAAGGGGAAAAAATAGCAAGGAAGAAGAAGAAGAAGAAGAAGAAGAAGAAGAAGAAGAAGAAGAAGAAGAAGAAGAAAAAGAAGAAGAAGAAGACAAAAAGAACAGAAAAGGAGAAGAAGAAAAAAAAAAACATCAAAGAAGAAGTTCAAGAAGAAGAAGAAGAAGAAGAAGAAGAAGAAGAAATAAATTACCTGCATTTCTTTTTAGGAGGACTCCTAACTCAGATATTAAACTGATCAGAACAGATACTACACTTGATCTTAGCCAAAAGGCCGAGAAAGGTATAGACTCTTAACTCCATATCAGTCATGGAAAAAATAAGAAAAAATATTCCTGCTTTTCTTTTATTTATTTGTACTTTTTCCTTTTTAACCGATTTCCGTTCTTCATTTAAAAAAAAATCGTAAAAAAAAAAAAGGGATTGTAGGGTTTACTTATTTTTTTACCAAAACAAAATTCCAAAAAAAGGGGCCGCGAGGTAGGCCTCATTGACCACGGCCACGACCGACTTCTCCGGCAGTAGCGGCCGCTTTGCCCGCGGTCTAGGTCGCTGGTGTACATAGCCACCTAGCCATTCTTTACAAAAACGGCTAATGATTTTGTCGATATCCTGTTTGGTATGCACAAAATTCATTTTTTGTCTGGCCGCCTGCCACTGGTTGGTGATCTCCGCATCCACCAGTTGCCTAACCAGGTCTGTCGCTCCATCTTCTATTCGGGCCCCCTCCACCTCCAGGGTGCACTTTTGCCACCATATCGCCCAGACGATAGCCCGCCGAAAACTAAATCTGGTTCAAAACCATCAAATCTAGACCAGCCAAAGTAGCAGCACTACAATGGCAGATTGAACATCGATGTCTCCCAACAAATGACTGGATCATCAACAGGGCTTTCCCATGGTGTAAATTCTGCGCCTCGGCTTTCCCCTAAAGAAAAATCCTTGAGACGATTGAACTTATCTTTCTACAATGCCCAAGATCGGTACGAATGTGGAGATGGCGGGATAGGATATGGGGTCAAATAGGTACTTCCCACAATTGGCCTTGGGATTGGAAGGCCCTGCTATGTGAAACCTGGTGCCCTGATCAGTTGGACAATTTTACTCTCAGCCTATTTACTGTGGGAAGATGAGCTCTCATGTGGACCATTTAACGTCGTAGATGCACCGATGAAATGGAGGGGGCAACGCTCGATGGTCCTGAATTCACGGACTCTATCAAACAACATATGCACACAGATATCATAGCTCAATGGGAAAAAGTAAAGGAAAAAGCTAAATATTTATCATCCAGGACTGAAATTCTTCAGCATTTTCAACATTTCAGTGGTGCTTGGCTAGGGGGTCCTCAGGGGGGTAAAGTGGCAGGATCAAATGGAATGCGGCCAGAGAAGAGCAACAGGCAGGAGTACCACAAGATGTTCGAAATATTATCACCTCTGTTTTAACGATTGGACAAACATAGACCCTTTTGTACCTCTGTGTCCTTTATCTGACTTCCCAGACCCATTTCCCCCTTCAGCATTGAGCCTGGTTCCTTGTAGTTGGTACGGCATAGACTGAAGGTTCTCCTGATCTAAAAGAAGGTTTTCCATAATTATTGTGTTGATAAAAAGTTGAAAAAGGAAAGTCTTCGGATGTTCGTCATTCAGATTGGCTGCAGCGGATCTACTAGGGCTCCTTTTACAGATCTGGCGCCATACCGTTCAAAATCATATGTAAATTTCCATATGGGATGCTGGGCCCGGTTCCCAGCACGTGTTGCTCCCCACGAATAGATTGGAGCCTTGTTCCCATTATAATAAATTAAAAAAAAAAAAAAAAAGAAGGAAAGAAGTTCAAAGAACAATAATTTGATTATGTGTGTGTGTGTG